AATTTTTTACCTATTGATCGCAGGTATGAGAACCTGAAGAAAGGAAACGACAGAATAGACTCGTGTGAAAATGTATAAGATACCTCTTTATGGACAGCACTCCTAATTTTATTGCATATGGAGAAGGGCTGGTGTGCAATGGAATTGAACGTATCATTTAGAATGTGTATGTTATGGAGTTTGAACACAATATCATCATTACGTAATTTAGATTATCTGATAACCAACATGCATAACACACTGACACATTCCTAAACATGGTTTAGTAAAATTGAAAGTATACATAATGGAACTTAATTTTCATAATTTACATAGAAAATGAAAACTATTCATAAAAGTTTGTTTTTCTTCAAAATCTACATCCTTAAACAGAGACTTCGATATGTTAGTAAAAAGGGGGTTCTTTGACGTTTATTCTGTTGTATTACAAATTACAAAAATCTCCAAACATAGTATTCAGATCAATAATGTTATTTTTTTCATTATATTTTTGTGTTTTAAATAATAATATGGGATCTAAAATTTGATTGATTTTGATACATGCCCATGAAATACAGAGGTGTCATAAAGACGTTTCAATGGGATGCTTCAGCTCATTTGTTTGATATAAAATTGCTAGGGGGAGGGGGTAAAAACAAGGGTCGGTCGGGAAATCTGAAACATACATATTTTTTTGGGCCTAAGTACATGCAAAAGTACAATGCCGTATCGATCTCTTTCACAGTGTATTCGATTCAATTAAAATATAATGCATTTTCGTATTGACTGCCTAGAATATTTGTCATTGCTTTGACTATCAATGTTCAATTGTAATGTATATTTTGCATCGATGAGTTTTATACGGCCAATATTAACAGAGAGTTTTAATTTGAAACCTGCTTCATGTTTGAAACCATGTATAACTACACAATGTGCTTAAATTGATTGAACCCCACCAAGCTGTTGTGTTAAATTGAGAAAGAGAGCAAACATTTATAGTAGTAAAATTCAATCAAGCGATGAGCGACAACAGTAGCCGTGGCCTTTTCCTTAGTCCCCGACAATAACCAGCGACAAAGATTTTTCAGTTTTACAACTAAATCAATGTTTATTGTTTGTTTTGTTATTATTCAAATTATAATCGTGAGAATTTAAAGAGCTATGGCGGGTTGCTATGCCTATTTCCAACCGTGCAGTGTTATAACGCGCCCTCAGGTATTTGTATACAGATAGCTCTATCGGAATCCCGTGTCTAAGAATAGATTATTGTTAACAGACGAATTTAAGGCCGTGGCTATTAAATACATGCGTTTCACGATAAAGACTCAACAACCTGTTTATTTCGCCTAATGCTGTATAAAACACAAGATCGTACATTCATTACCAACAAGTTTGAAAGGATTTAGTTTTCATTACCGTTGCCTACGTAATGCCGTTATCTGTTTTCGTAAAAAGCACACATATTGTTTTTGTTCTTTCTGCACCTTGGAATGGTAAAATGACATCGAATAGCATGTCTGACACGTGTATTGCGTTCCTTGCCGTGCTGCAGTCTTCCTGCATTTAAAACAAATGAGACTGTCCTCGACGATGAATTTTCCCGCATGTTCGGTAATATCTTTGCGATAATAACAGTTCTTTTTTATTGTTCTGACGCAATCCCATACATTTCGTATTTCGGCATCATTTTTAATGTTTAAATAATAAATAAAAACACTAGTGCTAATCGGAGAGTAAAACAAGTCATAAGTATCATTTAAAATGATGTTTTAACTACAAAGCGTAGCTGTACGACATGGTATTTTATTAAAATATCAATAAAATGTTCCATTAGTTTGAAAAATATTTATCATTTAATTAAGGAAAATGATCATAGGATCATATTAAGAATTGATGTATCTGAACGTGGATTCGAACCTACACCGTTCTCTTCTTCTTGTCACAAGCTAACTGCGTTACACATTAGGCAACATCGGACATAGACGAACATGGAACATCTGTCGCACTTTTGAGAAACTTGATCACACTGTTTTTCATTAATTTGAGCACTATCCCAAAGGCGGACCACTTTTCTATAACACGATTTGTTTTTGCATATAACATCACGGAATCAAAAAGTTTTTTCAAAAGTTGGTCGTTGGATGGGAAAGTATTGAAAGTATTTTTTTAAGTTATAGTGAATATGGCTATATTTGCAGTATTATATAAACAATACCGGATATCTCAACAGTTCAAAAATTCATATTCAGTTGGTTTTATATCTATTCCATACATTTTCGCTACTAAAAAGTATTTACTCATCAATATTTTTTTTCCGTTTTCAAAAATGTCGACTTAGGAAAATACGGGCAGTCTTCCGCCATAGCTCAAATTTGCAATTTATAATTACGTTGCCCAGCACAACCACAGTAGGATGTATCTGTGATGACGTCACAAAGTTATCATAGGTCACGCGCAGATGCATGTGTTTATATTTGACTCCAAAGAATTCCCATTCCCCTGGATTCGCTAATGTACAACTGTAGGGGTATGTGTCTTTTAAAATCAAAGTTATCTTAGCAATATAGTGTAATTTCTTTGAAATACAACTTATCACGTGCGAACGCATTATTTCCCCCCTATTGAATTAAATACTGCTAAATAAGCCAGATTTCGTATGTTACGAGATCTTTCATATATTTGCGTAACTGTTCTTATTTGTTGACACACTCGTGCGGTATTCCATTTAAATTGACACAGCACCGGAGCCCATATGTAAACGTGTACGTGTATACACATGTTTGCACACGAAATGATCTAATTACAAATACATTGTAACAATATCAAGGTAATTATGTAGGTTTTCCGATCATACCACTTTATATGTTTTGTCGTAAGCTGTTTGAGATTATACGGGATTATTTTAAGCCAAAGCTAAGTGAACTGACCTTGTTATGTACTGGTGCTGTGAACGCGTGTTTGTTAGGTTTGAATATTAGACCACCTGAACAGGTATGGCACGACGTCAAAGTCGACACATGTTCTCTGAAAGATGTACTTAAAACCTTACCAAACAGAACTATTTCAAAATCACACAGAAATGTCAATATACAATTGTACGTACTGCTCGAACTGGGTACGCCTAACAAGAAAGAATAAGTAATCGCGCGGAGATGTTCCATCTTCCAGATCCAAAAGTTACGCTCTTAATCTTTAACTACAAAATGTAGCAACACTAAATCAGGTATATCTTAAATGAACTTCGTTAGATCAGATACGTGTATCTTCTTAGCTTGTGTGAGAACTGGAATCTTATTAGTTATTAGATCTCGTTAGATTGGCTATCTTCACTAAACGTTAGATCAGATACGTGTATCTCAATTAAATTTCGTAATATCTGATATTTTAATTAGCTGTCATTAGTTTTGATTAACTAACTTAATTTCGTTAGATCAGATACATGTTTTTTAATTCGCTTACTTGTAATCAGATTTCTTAATTAGCTCTCGTAAGATAAGAAATTCTTATTAATACATGTGTACCTATCATAAGATGGGGTTTCTAATTAATTGTATAGAAGTTCCTTTAATTCATTTCCATAGGAGATCAACAGTTTGTATACAACGTCCCTTACACGGTCGTCAACAGCACCCCTGTAACTACTGTTCAGTTGTTCCTTTTCTGGTTTATTGGTTTCATTCACTTGGCCTTATTTGATTGACATGCAACTTCTTTAGTTTTTCTAATTCGCTTTCCGTTTTCTTATTCATATAAAAATGGATATTTAAAATTTTAAAAGACATGCTATATTTTAAAATAAAGTTTTGTAAATAATTCCATCCACTTACATAAGAATGTACAATCGTATTTGAAAGCGACACCGCCGAGGTTCCCTCACTTTAAGTGTTAACACCATATATTTAAGCATTAAGATTATTCTGGTCCGTGTTATGGTCCTATAACACGGAACAGGATTGCAGACAAGGTCAGTGGCATATATGGTGTCATGAATGTAACAATGATGACGTAAACACTTATATAGTGGCAAAGGCATACATTGGTACATGTTAGACGTTAACATACCGCCATCAGTGATGGTATATATACACATGTACTTGATTCGCATGTCCCTGTGGTCTATTATCATCACTTTTCGGTTCACCCGGGTTCTCAATTCCTGTGCATGCAGGGTAGTATACCTGTTCTCACACTGGTGTTTTATAGTAGGTCATAAAACCTGCTAAAAGGCTGTTAGCTTCGATGCTTAATCATATACAATGTACCAATTATGACTCCGGAACCATTGATTTGACTCGGCACCTATTTATTGTGTTAAATATTTAACATCAATAAAGCTTCCCTGTGCATGTCGAGCTTGTTATTCAACCGCAGCCAGTTGCATTTGGACAAACACGAAGGCAAAATCTCCTACATTATAACATTAAGTGTAAGAACCTGGTACACTGTATTTTATTTTCATTTGAGCTTTTGTGACATGGCAATGTGTTCGTGAGACCGATTGCAATGAGAGCAATATTTTGCGTTCGGATTAGACCTGCTCGGAGTAGATGAACGGGCTCCAGTTTTACAGTAATGTATCAATATAGATTGTCATGTAAACAGGTGTATTGATTATTTTTCAGTTTAGAAAATTGACATTGTTTCCAAAAAGGCAAATTCTATATTGCATGTATTAGATATTTTGATATGAACATAGTTCAGAGCACGATACACAAAAGTACACAAATCGGGTCTGTTTGGTGGAAAATATAAAGTGGTTTTTATAACACTATATGACGAAACCTTGATAAACTGCATAAGAACATCTTGACATTTGAAACACAGATCGCGATACACTTTGGTTTAACAACACTTCAGATTAATACAACTCCAATCACTTATATCTATATAAGTATTCAAATTGAAGGTCAAATAAACACGTTTTTTAAACATATCACTATCATCTCAGCCTAATTGAATTTGAAAGTTTGAGTTAATGTGACTAAATAAGGAAGTTTAAAATAATTTTAAAAAATGTTTACCTTTTCCCATGGTGTTCGTTGATCCGCAAGGATACCGCACGTGATGTTGAAATCGCCTGTACATCTTTTGGATCGGAACTCCAGAAAACACAGGAAGCTGATTTTCCAAAACTAGTTTCTTTCATAGAAATAACATGCACAGTTCCTGTTATATTGTCAGTGTTATCACAGAAAGCCGATATAATATAGCCTCTAGGAGTATGACTAATGTTTTGAAAATCGCCAGAAATGATATTTCGCTGGACCATAGATTGCGGAGGTCTTCGCTCACAGTTGTTTTGATTTGGAGCATCCGCAACCACAGATTGCTTCCCACTTCTGTTGTTGTTAATCGCACTTCTGTTGTTGTTAATATTAGCAGAAGTATTAACTAATTGAAATATCGGAATCATTTTCTTCACAAATGGTGTCGTCTGCTTCTCTGGGGTTTTATAATCTAAAGTCCGGTCTCTGTTAAACTGATATCGTCCAAGAGCTGATTTCGATTCGCGAATGTCGTCATAATCTAACACATGTTGCATCATTAAACAGAAGATCCCGGTATGAACCAGCAGAGTTCCTACTACAAAGCGGCGGGTTCTAAGTTTCATCGCTAGACCGTTATGCACATGCCATGTGTCGTCTGCTCGTAGCACTGGGCATTGTTGTCGTCTGCTTTTATAATACTGAGTGCTGGCACGGGCGGTTCGATATATCTATCTCTCAACAGCAAATCTGTAGAAATACTGTCAACACGACCGCTCGTGAACCGGTATAGATAGTGCGTTGTTTCGAGTAATTGTATAAAATGTATCACATCACTAATCGTAGAAATCTATTTACCTATCACCGGTGGGCAAATTGTAGCGAAACTGTGGCATGCGTTACATCCCAATTCCCCTTTGTACAATGGTATTTCCACTTGGTCATGCTATACTAATGTCAAGTTAAAATAGCTTCAAGCTAGAGCTATACATTTGACCCAACACTAGCACTCGGACTGGTCTACATCTGCAGAGGTCAATTTGAATCCACCTTATTCGCTACCAGGATTTTAAACGAATAATAATTTGTCCCGGACGGTTACTTCACCTATTCAGGTACATAAGTAAATACGTGTGTCCGTTGATTGTGACTTAATTATTGAATTATTTATTTTGTAAACCGTCCCACGGCACAGGCATTTGTTAAATCATTTATCGATTTCGGAATGGTTCTCAGCGTGGATTTTCACCTGGCACGGCAGAGTGCTGGAAAACATAAGAAAAGACTGATTTAGGTATTTAACATCCTTAATACGTGTGAAAGTCCGATCTCTGTCGGTCATTTATCTTTGTACCGACAAATGTACATGATATAGACGCTTAGATGATATGAAAGGTCACATGTCAATGTCAGTTTCATAGGATTTCAATGAAACAATCTAAAGCAACATTTTTTTTTTAAATCAGTCTTTTTTCAATTCAGTATAGACTTGTATAGACATCTGTGTATACATACTCATTTGCTTCAATCAAATATCTTTCATACCAAAACAAAGTTCATGTATATTATTACTCAAGCTTGATACGTATCATCAGCAATATATTGCATCCTGTTGATATTTGATATACATGGTACATGTATATAAGAAGAATCAAAGTACTGACAGTACTGAAAGCTAAGGCAAAAGATAAATATATTATTTTTGGAATGGAGAACAAAATAAAGACGAAGTTCCCATCATATTGTACAGAAGGATTTACTGTTAATTTGTTATGAATCAAAGTTTTATGTAAAAGTGTACCACTGTGAAGTTATTCTTCTTGTGTGTACAGTATATCTTTATAGGTTTGTCAGAAGAGTGGTACCAAGTTTCCTCTAGAATATATCATTTTAAACCTTTGGATAATTAATTTGCATAGGAATTTGGAATTGCTTCCCTTTGTCCATACAATGTATTTCATAGAACATTAAAAACTGAAACTGGCATTTACCCCTTTGACCAATACCTGATTATTTTAAACCATTGAATAGATTATGCACAGATTGTGAACATCTTTGAACTTTGCCTTTGTTGTTGAATAAGATATCAACCCTTGCCTTATCTAACAAAGTTACTTGGCATAAAACCATTGACCAATCAGAGTACAGTATGCTAATTAATTAGGCATGGATTTCACTCAACTTTGAACTTATCGTCTAAGTTTGTATATTGATCAATATATATTCAAGCAAGTTATCTTGTAAAGTGTGCACATCGACCAGGGTTGGCATGCTTTTTAATACGTGTGAATTTTGTTCAAGTTTCAATTTTGCATCAGTCAGTGTATATTGTTACAGAACAATATTTATAAGGATGTTTACTTGCCGAAACTAAATTGTGGATAAGCAAGTGGATTACTGCTACCCATAAATTTACAAGTCTCTCAATAATTTTGAAAAACTTTTAAATAAAGTGTTTTACATATTCACTGCAGTGAAAAGGTCTCTTCTTATGAAAAATGGAACTATTTTGAATCTGTGTTCCCATGAACAAATAATATAAAAAGCACTCTAATTCAATATGATACATTGTTGTATGTTTCAATATTGAATAAGATAAACAAAATATAAACATACATACTCACACACACACACAAGATTAGGAGAGTTACATTATTTTCCCTCTATTTCCATTGCATAAATTCTTCACAAAGAAAACAACAACTTTATAGCATATGTTCAGCTTTATCATCTTCATAGGCTAGCATTTGAAATAAGATGCACATATTAATTTCAAATACATTTCAAAAGAGTACTGCAAATGTACCAGCTAGAACACATACTATGTTATTACAGTTGTCATGATTGTTGGTTTCAGAACTGATAGCATTGTGCAACAAATGTTGACAACAGGACTTATTGAAAGTTGAGGTTGCTTGTGTATATGCAAACAGGTAGTGCATGATTTAATGTTGAGAATGATGGATCAAGGTTTATAAAATTTGGTTTGAATACTTAGTTAGGAATGCACTGACAATTTCTCTGTCACATGTACATGAACAGGTTGTGAAGCTGTAGCCTTCACCTTGACTGAATGAAATTGACCTTAAAACTGTCTTGAACAATTGATGTATGAAATTTAGAAATGAAGTTTCAAGAAATATGGTTGAAAACTTAAGAAATAATTGCTTTCATTGACATTGATACAATCTTGTGTGCTATCCCTCTCATATATCACACAAGATTTAATATCAAATGTTGGACACAGTAAAATCGAGCGAAGTTAACAAATATCAAGTTACATATTATAACTTTTATTTTATTTTATTGATATTGATCATAAGCATTGTTAAAAGTACAATGTATACCAGGGATCTTACATTTCTTTTACTACTTAACATTTGCGTTGACTTTTAATTCATTGGACAAAAACTAAAAGGAAGCCATGACCAGTATTTCTATCTTTAAAAACATACTTTTAATTTTTTTTCCAATTTGCTCCCACCACCCATAGTGTTATATTGATCAAAACAAACGTTGTTTCCAACATTTGTGCCCTTAGTCAGTAGTGGGTGTTCAATCACATTCATCAGGGTTTCAGCATCAAGTAGGGGCTGTTCAATCACATTCATCAGGCTTTCAGCATCAATATTCACAGATTCAATCTGTTCCAAGTAAAGATCACTGACTTCTCCATTAAGGAAAAGTTTGCGAGGAAAGCATTTGAACTACATTTGAACTATTCGCTGATGGAAGGATCTGTGGACTCGGCTTTCATGTGTCTGAGAGAAAATGATTTAGTCAGAGGTTCCTCCTCTATAAAGTAACTGACAGATTTCAAAATGTCATGTCACTGTTGGTATAGTTCTTGCAGCCTTTTGAAAAAGTTCATGAAGTCCTCAAAGGTATGAGAGAGTTGGTACAGTTCCTATTTCTCATCCTCCTTTCTCCCATCAATAACCATCCCTGTCTGTTGTAATATTGATTGCTTTCCCCCCCTAAAATAGAACATAGTTACCATATAATTTCTGCACCAGCAATAATGTTTAGAGATGATATTCAAACAAATAGGAGGCATAGCAATATGAGCTTGTATAGTGAGAAATAAGGCATTAAAGCTGAGGAGTTCATTAAAATGTTTCAAAAACATTTCAATAAGTCAATCTCTTTGGTAGCAGAACTAAATATAAACAAAATGTACATTAAATTCAACTTATAACAGCACATCATATGGGGGCTTAAGACATCTAATTCCTTAGGTGGTAAAACATGTGTACATAAAAAGGTACCAGTAAAAACAAAACAAAATTAGTTTAAACACACGCACTTAGATATTCACGGTTTTCATTAATACAAAAGATGAAGCAGAACATCACTCTCCCCTGGTTGTTTCCATAAAGAAGAAATTAACCAGGAAACATGGAGATGTCCATTGCACTCCTTTATTTTGCTTACAATGTGCAAATGTGCCTACTATGTGCTAATAAGCTTTCCATGTTATGGTTTTGTTTTTTATGTGCTGTATGCAAATGTTCTAAATGTGCTTAAATTACCATGTGCTGATGTGCTTACCGTGTTCAATGTGCCTATTAAGTGCTTTCCAAGTGATAAACTCTTTTTCTGAGCTTACAGTATACTACATGTACATACATGTTTTTATTTTATTTTTCCATGTTGTAATATTTTGGTCTCTGTTATTATACTCATGTTTTGTCTTTGTAGCTTATGTTGTATGTTTTGCAAAATGGACGTAAAATATATATTTTTGTATCTTGTACGTGCTCAAGGATTTTATCTGTAGTTTTTGGGACTATATATAGAAAAACTTTACCCCAGTATGAGGAATTGTTTTACACATTTATCATAAAACAAGTTATGTTCAGATTTCAGACAGAAGATACTCTAAAATTGTACAACTCAGAAAAGGTTGAAAAATATTTATAGTTCATTTTTTTCTGCTTAGAAATATTTAATCTCTAAATTACAAATGATAACTGTTTTAACAGGTCTAGTTTCCGAATTGGAAACCAAACCCTGTCTGACCTATAAATGATCATTATATAAGGCCAATTAAAAGTTTAAAACAAATATTGAGTTTATGCTAACCCCACAGATACTGGACACACTAATAGTAATATGATGTGTATAAACTATGATATATTATACACACTATACTTATTGGTGTGTTCGACACCAGTGTGGTTAACCAGACTTATCTCAGATTTGTGTTCTACAATACCCTTAAGTTTTTATATGCACTGTTAAAGTCAGAACTCCTGCTCTATATTAGCGCAGTAAAGATATTTTTCAAATTAACAATAAAATGCCTAGCTAATACATACCTACCCTATTTTTTTCTGATAGTAGAAACACAAGTAATTTGTTTGGCCTAATGTTTCTGTCATTTCATAATATTTAGAACTACTATACTTGTTTAAGTTTCCAAAACATCAAGTAGTATAACAATTGAAACTTCAATGAAAGCCAACATCACAATGAATCTAATAATACAATGTTTATAACATG